GTAATGCATTATCTTCCGTTACTTTTGCGATAATATTTGAATTTGAATTCGCGCTAAGTGCTAAATCGTTTTTTAATATTTTTGCCTCTGCAGCGGATGGTGTTGAGGTAACTTTTTTGTCTTCAACTTTAACTGGTAGTTTCGTAGAAATTGAACTATTTTCGTGAGGCTGTAAATTTAATTCTTTATTGTCTGTCTTTTTGGGATCTTCGTATAAATTTTCTGCCTTTTCCTGAATAATGCTCGAGCGAAAATTCTGTTTTCCGACATTATTCTTTTTCTTAGGTAACGAATTCTTCATTTCTATAAGTACCTTTTTCAGTCTCTCTCGCTCTTCTCTCTTGTTGTCCTCCGCAGTGTTCGCTGCGCCCTGTTCGTCGACAGATACAGACTTAGAAAATTTATTCTCTTTATTTTTATTATGATTTATTTTACTCAAGGCTGAAAACCCTATTTGTGTTTTCGACCGCTCGAAGTGTGGAGTGTCGTTACCGGATTTAAATGGCGTATATTTAGAATTATATGTACTGCCGCTGGCCGGAAAATGCCTCACTTCTAAATTTTCTATTTTATTCTTTTCGAGTGAGTTATTTTTAGGCGAAGGTATACTCAGATCATCAAAGTATGGTTTTATAGTAGAACACACGTGACATATTATTCTCCAGTAATCGTTTTCAATCGAACATTTCGGACAATTCCAACTTTTGTGTTCAGTTTTCGGCGTTTCTTTCTTATCTGATTTGTTAGTTGTGATTATAACTGCACTTTCTGATTTCATTAGAGGAATGCCTGTCTTGTTATTTTCAATTAATTTCTTTTCATCTTGGTCGATTTTTCCAAAATACTTATCACTTAATTTTTTATTGTTTTTATTTTGGTGTAAAAGTTCGTCTTTCACGCTAAGCTGCCGTCCGAAGTAATCGCGTTTGAAATTATCTTTTTGAGCTCCTCCAGGTTCTTTGGATCCAAAGAACGTACTATTCACAGTCACTTTAGTGACATTTGTAATAGCATTGAATTTGGCTATCAGATCTTTGGCGGATTTTCTTTTCGGCGACACCCAGCTGTCGGTATTCTTTGCTTCTTCCTGTTTGGGCCTCATAAACGGTGGAGGGTCCAGTTCGCCTGACTGACATTGTTCTTTTTTTATCATTTCGGTCGCTTCACGATCTAATTCACTAATGTTCGTGAGAAACGTCATTCCAGACTTTCTTTTAAAGTCGTCTTTACTGCTTTGATTAGTACCGAATATTTTTATCGATCTTGTGATCTCATCATTTTTTAGTGATTTATTTTCTTCAATATTATTTGAAACGTTGACAGATTCTGGTACCCGTTGAATTGGTTCGTATTTGTTATCAATTTTGAACGGTTCTTTCTTGGGTACGAATGTACTTTCTCTGTTAACGTTTCTTTTATACCATGGACGAGGTGAAACTGGTGATATTTCCATGGGTTTTTCTGACTTCACAGAAGAGGCGCTATCAGTAGAATAAATTGATGCTGCACTTGTATGCTCCGTCACTGGTTTCAAAACACCATGATCTAGTTTAAGAGAATCATTAGAAATAACATTTGCATCAGCATATTCTATTGTATCAAGTCGTTCTAAGGCACTTATTATTTTTCCAGAAGACACTGTTGGAGGCTGCGGAGCTAATTTCTTTTTCCGTCTGAGACTCAGTGTAGAATCTCGTGTTTTATTGTTGGTCGGTGGTTGCGGTGCTTTTCTTTTACCTTTCACATGGCAATAAGCTCCAGCTTTTTTTAATTTCGAAGATTCACTGTTTGTTCTGCGATGTAAGCGTGACGTTTCGTCATCACTATTTTCCAACATCTTTTTTCGAGTCATCAGAGGCAAGCTTCTGCTGCTATCTTCTTCCTCTTCGACTTTCGGCTTTAACAATGTTTCTCGATTAAAGAACAAATTATACTTTTTTCGCAATGTTAAATTTTTATCGCGTTCCCGTCTCTTATCTCTCTCCTTGAGCCTAGCTTTGTATGTGTCCGTTTCGGGACCAAGAGCGATAGACTTCTTTTCCAATATATTTGATTGATATGATTTGGGAGGGACGAACGAAAAGGAGGCTGCCGTTCCAGTACTTATTCTGGAATTGATGCTGTCACAACTACTCGATGACGAGCTAAGCAGGTCTGGAACGCTAGACTCGCGGGAAGGTGAAGATTTAAACCATTTGAAGAATGAAAACAAACCGCTACTTCTCTTGGATGTTTTTGGATCATAGCCAGGACTTTGTCCGACAGTCGTGGGGATATCTTGTGAATGATTAAAGTTCATATTATTACAATGACCATGTCTTTTGGGTACTTGGGGATTTCCTTCTTACTAATACAGGCGTCGATTAGAACTTTTATCACCATTAACGGTATTAGTAACCACCTTTTGCTACTAAATATTTTTAGATATCGGTTGTGGTTCTGTTATTAAAATTTGGTAAATAGGAATGCAACATCTTGCAGTTAGTAAGGGGACACTCCGACTTACCATACACACATAATGACCCGATTTAATGTGGAAAGCACATCTGTAAAATACTGAACTCGTAGTAAAGTTTCGTTTGATAACTATGTATAAGCTGCGGCAGAACAAGGGCAACACTATCTATACCTGTAAGTGAAGCGAAGATACATTCGGGAGTTCGTTTAATTTTAGCACTACTTCGGCAGAATCCGTCACACCAACGAATACAAAATTTTGTTACAAAAACGAAAATTCGTATTTCATTTAATAAACACTTTCCAGTTTCGTTTCTTTTCTTTCAGCTAATCGTTTCCGTTAAACGTTTGAATTTGTTCACTTTATTTCAATGAACCATTATGTTTTGAATTAGTTAAAAATTATCACAGATTTTGATATTTTTACACACTCACTAAATTTTTAAATATACTTAAAGAGTATCATAAAAGCATAGGAATAAAATACATATGTAATATATATTAAATCTCACTTCTGTATTTGTTTGCCAGCCAATTAGAGGTACACTTATAAGAAATGAAATAAATACATACAAGAATAATTTGATTTCCAATTAATTATTACACACCCAGTAAAGGAATCAAATAAGTCAAAATTCATGTATGTATATACCAATCCCAAACCTATCTATCTAAAATGAGTAAAATAAATTTAGACAAGAACTATACTATATTTGTAATAAACGCTTTCTACAAATTACCCCAATTTATACACAAAATTACAAAACATCAAAAATTCTGCTCCTGATAATGAAATGTATTTATGTAAATTCTAGGTAACAATAAATTAAATATCAACTTCCACAGTATAGAATTCAGACATAATAAAAGGTTCCATGTAATCAAACCAATATTATTTATACATGTATACTGTATATCTGCAATTAAAATTTTAGCTTTTAATTTTCGTTTTAGGCATTAGGTATCAAGGTTTTACTTTACAATTAAATTTTTTAACTCTAGAAATGCTACTTTTTAAATAGTATTCATAACACATATAGAGTTTTTTACAACACAGTTCTTAGGGAAAACTATCGTTTTAAGAACGTTTTAGCATTATTGAGATATACAACTTTTTCGTCAACATTATTAGTTTTCATGCGAATATTAATATTTCTAAGTAAAACTGTAAGGTGAGAGTAGGTATATAGGATGCAAATAGTAGAAATATCTTCATTAGATCTAATTATTGTAGAAACGTCTTTGTATGCTATCTAAATATGAAGTTTAAACAGTTTTCTTTTAAACAGTCCAATAATTTTTAAAATTCCAGTAATTTAATTAATCAATACTTTCTGTAATCTAATCATTAATGTTTCTGATCACTTATTTGTTTTCCAATTCTTTATTTATATCTTGATGTAGCCTCCACATACAAAACTACTTTACAATGGACATATTTTTTTTTTAATTTTAATTTTGTAACGCAATTAATTGTCTCTAAAACAAAAAACTAATCATATTTTTATAAGTGTTCACTTTTTTGAATATGCTCTTTCTTTGGACACAATCAAAACTCAGTTTGTCCAACAGTTCTACACAAAATTTCACTGTATTAATGATAAATAATGTTAATGCAGAGTTTTCTTGCAAAAAACTTTCATTATGCTCTATTTAGTGCTATAAACATCTTTCAAACAGTTTTATTGCAATTGCTAGCAGCTCAGGGTCATGTCTTTTTGGAGCTTCTACAAAACTATCTGTTATTGGAAGCCGGCAAAGATGTCTTCGAATTGCAAGATCCCTTCTTGCAGACAGAGCCCTTCTATAAGAGCCTGCACTAGTAAATAAATTTCTTCGCACAGCCTCTTCTTCCTTTAAGCAAACTTGAATAGCTGCTATAGGATGTGAAATTTCAACTTCAATGGGAATATTTTCATATTGTTCTTCATATGTTTCCATTTTTACCTCTACAACTTGGCTTTCAATTTTCACAGCAGGCAAATCATTTTCATCTCTGGGTTCTTCTTTAATTTCTACTTCAGTTTCTTCTTCTTTAATTTGTTCAGTGACTTTCAATTTTGAAATATTTTCCTTTTCTTCCATAATTTTTGCATTAACATGTTGTTTAAATACATTTTTAACTGTATCTTCACCTGCCATTTCTACAGATATTCCTAGATTAAGTAGTATGTTATGCCCTTCCCATCTTCTTTTGGCAGAGCTAACTGGTTTAACTCGAGGCTTAGATTCTGCAACTAAACTTGCCCAGTCCACACCCAAAGCATCACCCAATCCCTTGATCCGAGCTTCTTCTTCTAATTCATCTTCTGATATTTCTTCAAAATCTAAATCAATATTTTCTTCTTCCAAAGAATCTTCCTTGATCAATATATGTTGTGCAGGAGAATGAGATTTTTGGGAAGATGTACTTGGCTGCTGCTGATTTAGTAACAAATCCTTTTCAGATGTATTTGCGTCAGTTTGTTCTTCAAGATTTTCTTTAGCCTTTTCTTGAATCTCCTAGAACAAAAAATAACAGAAACAAAATTTTACAACATTAAATCTGAATACCTCTTCTCTATTTAGAATTTCATCGGCATCATCGCTTATTTCACTGAGATCATCTTCAAGAATTGGTTCTTTTAGACACAGCCGTTTTGGCTCAGGTGCTTCTTCTAAAGGCTGTTCTGCAGGCCTCTTTGCGTTCTCTTTCTTGGTATTCTCATCTTCTTCTTCAGGAAGTGGAACTTCTTCTTTGACAGGTTCTTTTTTTGGAACGGAATCCCTTAAATCTCGTACATTGTCCCTATTACCTTCTCGAATTAAATCTCTGGAAGGTTCCCTCTGGATATCTCGAGTACCTGGATCAATGTGCTCTTCAACTAAATTTTAAAACTTTAGTAGAATAATTATCTAACAAAATCATATCAACATACCACCTCTGTGGGAAAGTGCACTTCTAGGTCTAGAATGTTCCCTATGCTCACGCCATTCCGTTGCCCATCTCTTCCTTTCATCATTTGACCAACTATCCATAGATCTATTATAATGCCTCCACTCTTCTTCCATTGGAATATGTTCATGTTCCCTCATGTTCCATGCTGCTCTAGCATCCCAATCCATTGGCCTTCTAGCTCGGTCCCAATCTCGTTCCCCATAATCATTAACTTCCCATTCCCTGCCTTTTAAAGATGGTGGCCTGGAATCTTCCCTACCATAATGTCTTTGGTCAAGATCTCTTTCATCTCTCATATCCCAGTTAAGTGCCCTGGGATCTTCTGCATATTCCCTTGCCTCTAATGATATTCGCTCATCTCGAGAATTGTCGTTATATCTTTCATCGAGTTCCATATAACGATGATCTTCGTGACGACCGTGGTCATAGGGACTATGATAATTTTGATCGCCGTGTCGTCGTTCTTGTTCTCTCATTCTGGGAGGAATCGCGCAATATTCTCTTTCTCTATCCAAATCCCTTTCCCTGTTGTAATTTCTATCGGCATGGTTATAATTATAAAGGTCGTCTCTTTCACGGTCTATTCGGTTAATTCTCTCAGATTCTCGGTCTAAACGATTATGTCTTTCTAAGGATCTACGAGAACCACTTGGTCTATTCCTATCTGAAGATCTCTCCTTGCGGTCTCTATGTCTACCTGATAAAGAATCACCTGGCGATAGGTCACGCCTACCTGAAATAAATTATATATGAAGTTTGCTTAAAAAGTTAGTGAAATAAATAACTGCATACATGGTGGTACTCTTTCTGCAGGCAATGGAAGTAAACGTTCAACCCTATCAGTTGGTGGTTTCTCCAAACCTCTATCATCTCGACGACTTCGATCCCTGTTTCTTCGCTCTTCGTCCTTCTTTACCAATTCTTTCAACCTTTCACGCTCTCTTTGTCTTTCCTGACAACGTGCAAGAGCCTCTTCACGCTCTTTTTCTCTTGCGGCCTCTCTTTCTTCTCTGGTTAACTTTCGTTCTCTCTCACGATCTCTTTCAACTGATTCTCTTTTATCCTTACGGTTCCTCTCGTTTGTTCTATCTCTTATTCGGTTACGCTCGTGATCATCCCTTTTTTCATTACGACGATCATCGCGGGAGGGTGGAGAATTTCTTCTAACTTCCTTACGATTAACGCTATTCGTACGAATTTTAGATTTACCTGGTGACGATTTTCGGTCTTTTGAATGACCTGAATCAGGCGAGTCCTGTTTTCTTGAGGTTTTTTGAGTACGTGATTCACGTTTTGGGGATTTCAGTTCCCTTTTCTTATCTCGGTCTTTTTCCTTTTCTTTATCTCTACCTCTTTCCCTTTCTTTTTCTCTTTCGCGTTCTCGTTCTTTTTCTTTCTCTCGTTCTTTTTCTTTTTCACGCTCTCGTTCTTTGTCCCTTTCACGTTCACGCTCTCGTTCCTTGTCTTTTTCCCTTTCTTTTTCTCTTTCTCTCTCTTTTTCACGTTCTTTTGCTTTTTCTCTTTCACGATCACGCTCTTTTTCTTTTAAAGCTTTAGGAGATGGTGTTCTATGTTTCTCCTTATGATTATCAGAACTACTAGAAGGTCGCGGTGACTTAGGATGAGGAAGTGTTTTAGAGACACTTACGGTTTTTAATTTAATGGGAGGAGTTTGAGATTTTTTTACTGCATGGACAGGACTTGGCAACTTAACAGATTTAACCTTTGAAGGCACATCTTTTTTTGGTCTTGAAAGATAACGAGCTGCTCGTTTAGAATTGTGTTTTTTGCTTTTTGATCTTTTCTTTCGTAACTTCTCAGCATCAGATGATGAAGAACTTCCTCGATGTGACTTAGTCTTCTTGGTTTTCTTACGAACCTCCACAGAAGAAGAACTAGTAGAACTAGAATCATCACTTGAAGAACTGGAATCTGATGAACTGCTAGAACTTTCTGAAGAAGGGCTGCTTTCTTTCTTTACTTTCTTTTCTTTCTTTCTTGCTTTATTTTCCATTTTCATTTGACGTTCAAGCTCACGTTGTAATTCAAGTCTCCTCTTTTCTAAATCGTCTGGATCAGCATCATCTAGTTCAGTAGGATCCCACTGCCCCCAATCCTCAGAAGTTTGTCCGATTTTAGCATGAACTTTTTTGTGAGCATTCTCTTTACTGTGACGTTTTTTAGACTCGTTTTCTTTTTTTGCTGCTCTCTGCTTTGATGGACTTATAAGGGTATGAGTAGATGAATACTTACAGCCCTTTCCATACGGGCAAGTACCGTTTTGTGCCCAATGATGACAAACCTCTTGATGAACTGTCGCCGCTTTCGTTCCTAATCTTTCAAAGACACTCGGTCGGTTTTTTGGAAGTGTTTTAGTTTTAGGATTAATATTAACTGTTATTTTGCGTTTAACCTGTTTAGACATCGCGTATCTTTGCAAGTTCCGAATAATGCAATAACAATACTGTAATGCAACCACACATTTTTTGTTTTTTTTTAATATTTCATCGAAAGTTAACCTAACCTTCACTTTACATCGAATACTTATTAGAAAGTTATACTTTGTTCATCGAACTTACTCATAGAATTTCAAAATCAACTTAAAATTATAACATAGGCGTTAATTTATAAAATAGAATAAAACAACAGGTATTCTTGTTTTAGAAAGGTTGCCCATTTTTTTGATTTTTTGGGATTTTAATTCACTGTTAAAAACAAGTCTTCTAATACCTCTATGATTGAAAACAATTAAACTTCTGTACTTTGGGTTGCCTAATTAGCACTCTTATTCAGTATATTAATTTAAGACATACTTGCACAGTGTTTTCAATTCCAATTCGAATTTTTTTGTTTTTTCAACCGTTAAATAATTAAAAAATTATGAAGAAATCAGCAGTTAACAACCAAATAGGTATGTGGACTTTCTTTTGTGCAAAGGTTGTGAGAACAACATAATATCACAGAATTGGATAATTTCACCAATTTATTCATACTTATACATACAGAGGAAGGGGTTGAGTTTAGATATCTTTTAAGTTGACTGTTAATAACATTATTGGTTAATATAATTAACAGTTTAATTGAAACATACCTAACCCAACCCCACTTCTATATAAACTGTTAGTATAAATATTATATATGTAAATTTTACTTTTGATAGTGGTCTCTAAACAATAAACAATATTGTCGAGTCTCGAAAAATTGTTGCAACTATACATTTTTTTGTGAATTAAGTATATTTAATCATGTATTGTTAATTTTTTGATAGTGGAAGTCTTTACATTCAATTTTTCTATAACTATTCAAAGTTAAGTTTTCTTTATTTTTATATTGGACTAGAGTTACGCAGGTTTTGTTTTAATATGAACACGCACAGAATAAATTAGGGTGTCTTTATAGTTTTTTACATAATTACTCTATAAATTGTTTCTTATATCAATGTTTAAACTATTGTAGTCCTTTTACCTCCATCGAAGTTTACAATTTCATGGTGCTATCATTCCTGCTTTAAATTTTTTATTTTAGTAATCATTCGCTATCATGAACACTTTCGGATAGCTTAGCGTATTTGTTTGCAATTTTAACAGAACAACTGGAAATAGAAAACAGGAAAATAGTTTGGTAATTAAAGAAATAAGGAGGCTATCTATTTATCGCAAATACACTATCTCCTAATAACAGGCGCTTAATTCTTCTATTAATATATGAGTAGGCATTATCAACACAGGATAAGCAGACAAAACACGTTTTCATTAATTGAAGCGTGCTTATGGGCATTAAAAATGAATCTGCTTCTTTAAAACAGCTGGATATCGTAACCGTTTTTCCACCCACCTTGTATATGTACCCAATAGAACGGCTTTAACTTAGATAGTAATATATATATACAGGTCCGGCAACAGGAGGGCGACAACGGATACAGCTTTACCGATTCTAGACGTTAGAAGCAAAAAATTTAATTAAAAATTGGGTAATGTCTAGATGATGGCCCCAAGTTATGGGGGTGGGGATAGGGGGGTCGAAAGAGGGCGGTCACCTGAGTAAAACCCCATAAAAGATTTGCGGCGGTCTCACTCCCATAAAAAGTTATGCGGGTTGAAAGTTGATTATTTTGACAACACTATAATTCAAATAAAATTCAATAAAAAAATTATTTTCAAGCGGGTGGAGGTGGGGGATTGAAAGAGGGTGGTCACTTGAACAAAACCCGANGCAAATTGTAATCAGAGTAACGTGCCTCAACGTTTCTTTCGCCTGGCCGGTACATATAAACCGGAATTCATTGCATTTTTTGCAGTATCGCAGAGAAGTCAGTAATTGATAATACATAATAATGTTCTTTATATTATCGCGACTGGAAATTCTTTGCTACTTAAATAAATTACGAAAAAATGAAGCGGGAAGAGGTGAGGATGAATAAAAAAATGACACCGCCATGATATTGCATATTCCCCTCCCACTTGTTATATTATTTAAAAAACAATTTTTTTAAATTCTTTTATTTTGTACCATACACTTAGCTTATTGTATACGTTACTTAAACCAAATGTATATGCCACTTACAATAGTGGGATCAGACTTTTTAATATAGTCCTAAAAAACAAGAGGTTTAAACAGTTTCCTAAAAACACATCACAAACAAACCAATTAAGTGTTCTATTTGTAACCTAAAAGTACAACAGGTGCTATACATGGCACCACCTGGCAGTTCAGTGCATTCGAGTATTGCGAAGGATTTCACCCTAGGCACTGTAGTGAGGTACACGTGTTTGATTTTCATAATGTTTATCACACAAAACCAAAGGTTGATTCTGTATTTGACAATTAATGCTAAAACGAATACTAGCGATCATAGCAAGTCACTGAATGAGTTTCTTAATACAGTAATAGTACAAATACAATTATAGTATAGTCGATTATGCGTTTTTAAGCTAAACCCAAATAAAGGTGTTATGATGCTCTTGCGTACTGAATAACAGAACTTAATCGCACTGGGGATGAATTAATAGTTTCCATCGATTTTAAGATCATTTTAGATCGTTTTCGAGGTGGTAAACTTAATTCCCTATCGGGAGACACGGATGGTGCGGGCGATACAGGTTCTGAACTAGTCGCTGAAATTGATTCTTCTTCAGATGGGATTTCGGTAACGGCAAGCGCTGCCTCCACACGCCTACGAATATCGTCTCCAGCATTTAAGAATGTATTATGTTGCATATTATTAGGAAAATAGACGGGATGTCTCAAAGCGGCTAATACATCGGAAGATTCCTCGGAAATCAAGTTTAGCACGGTATTAGGAGATGCTCGTCGAAGCATTTGCTCGCTGTGAATACGTTCTGTAGCTGCTACCGCCAACAACTCAACACCAGATGGATAAATCACCGATGGATGTACGTAGGATAACGACACTGGGGACAGTCGACCTTTCTCCTTTGGATAAAAATAGTAACGAATATCGGGATCATATACTACGCTTTGTTCTCGATGAGAAGTAACTAACTCTAGAGGAATATCTTTGTTTTCTTTATCGCTAAGTGACGAGCACGAAGACTCGCTAGGAATGCTGGACGTCGGAGATGCGGACGGAGCACTTTCTGAATGACTTTTTATGTGTGCTTCCATACACTTCTTCGAGTTAAATGTTTCGTTACAAATAGTGCACTTGTAAACTTTTTCTCCGTAATGCGCTACTTGATGTAATTTCAAAACATGGTTGTATCCAAACGATTTTCCGCAGATTTCGCACGAGTACGGTTTTTCGCCTGTATGAGTGCGAGAGTGCACTTTCAATTGCTTACTGCAAGTAAACCCTTTTTGGCAGACAGTACAGACATACGGTTTTTCTCCCGTGTGTGTTCGCATATGTATAACTAATTGTCCTGATTGAATGAACGTCTTCGAGCAAATGGTACATTTGTGTGGACGCTCACCCGTATGAATGCGCATATGGCGATGCAGCTTACCAGAATGTTCAAACGCCCGTGAGCACACATCGCACTTGTAAGGACGTTCTTTGGTATGGATTCGCCGATGGACGCTGAGATTCTCTTTTACGCTGAAACTCTTATTGCAAAACTCGCATTTAAAGGGTTTTTCGCCAGTATGTGTTCTATAATGTCGAGTAAGTCTAGCAGGAACTGCGAATGTTTTGGAACACATGTTGCAACGGTACGGGTCTTCGGTTTCTTTAGAGTGCGTGCGTTGATGTGTTTGCAGCGCAACTTTAGAACTGAACACTTTATCGCAAATTTGACACTGAACATTTTCGTGATCTGGAGAAGCTAAAAATCCCGGTATAGGCAAATCGGGACTACATACTACACGTTTGATCGGCAAGTATGTCTCTTCCGGAGACTGAACTTGTGCTGCGGGCATAGTTGCTTCGTTGAAATAACCGACCATTTCTTGACGTGCTGACTGTAGCCAAAGTTCTGTAAAAGAATAACGAAATTAGTAAAAAAAAAAACAGTGACAGGTTACAGTTGGAATTAAACATTGTACAAATATGAAATAAGGACCTTCTTTTTCAACTTTAAACGTTGGAAACGGATTTTGGCCAATTGAATTTTTGAGTTGACGACCACTCTCTTCCATTGTATAATACGAGGAAGACGCGCAAGAAACTGCGTAGAAGATATAAGTGCACCCTAACAATGCAAGAATGACAAGTGCGTTATGTTACTCAAAGATTGGACCCCGCCCAATGCGTGTGCATTATATGGGAGAGGGGAAATGCCCGGTCGGATTTTGACCTCACGCATTTCGTCGCCCAAAAACCGTGTCAGAAGAAATGCATACAAGTCCGTAATATGTAAATACGTATAATTATATATGCGTTAACGTTGGGTAAAGATAGGTAAATAAACTGTAAAAGGAAGAAATACCAAATACTACCAAGTGCTTCACACTTGATTTTTTTCGTATAAGTACACTAAATAAAGGTATAAATAAATTGTGATCCATTACATTGCAGAATTCAGACAGAGAAAATTTAAAAATTCAGAATAATTATGCACGTTGAGACTTACATTTGATTTCCGGATACCAGAAAACCAACTAACTCAAATTAATAATTGTGAAGGTCAAGTAGAACTATGAATAACTACAGTTTTAAACTATATATGAAAATATACGTTGATTTTTGTCCAACACTTAATAACGTAGTATCTCAGCAAAGACTACAACACATGAACGAAAAACAAAATTTTGCCATTTTGACGGTTACCTCCACGTATATATAGACAGTAAAAATAAGTAATCTTGTTCAATAAAGGAGACACGGGTAACGTTGCAGTGAGGCGACGCATTGTGGCTTTTCAATCAAGCGGCGGCGCAAGCATAAGAGGCCGTCGCTTGGAAAGGCCACGAGTGCGCGGTCGTAGTCATTCGCCTCCACGTGGAGTAACTATCGTTGCTTCACAATGATCGCCGACCTCGTCAACCTACAGAGACGTATGTAATCCGTTCGCTCTATTCGTCGCTTTACAAATACACACACACACACACCATACGACGCACACGAAATAACAGAAAAATAAAACCATTTTCTATTTTAACAAAGAAAGACTTAGAATATTCTTGTAATAACATAATCAAAATAAAATTTTACAAGCATTCACCCTAAATATGAACAACCACTTTTTAAATTATTCAATGTCCTTGAAATGTAGAACCGATTAGAAGGCTACTTTTTCAAATTTCAACTCCGAAATTTTATATTCAGCAAAAATGACAACAAATAGCTATAATAAAATTTTAAAATTTTAGATTTTACCGACAATTGTAAAAATAAAACATCTCATAAATCATTTTTGTACTAGTATATATGTCAATACTTGTATTTTATTTGAAAATAAAAACTCTAACCTTCAAGAAGCTTGCTTTGATACACACTTTAACTTCATTAACAATAAATGTACCTATAATAACTTTTTATAGTTTTTTTTTTGTTTGGTCACTGTATTAATTGTGAACCTATACGTGACGAACTACTTTTCACTCGTTCTAAAATAGTAGCGATATTCTCGATTTTTCATTTAAAAAGAAAATTTTATTCACCACACTTCCTTCCCAACACAACAATACGATTGAGCTTCAAATTCACCTCCTACACGATCGGGTGTTCCTGATGTGGCCCGAACGAATTCGAGAGATCCCGTCTTCTCTCCCCGACCAACCGTTTGTCGTAGCCCGAAGTACACGGTTCGGAACGAATCTGCTACAAACGGCACGTGGAGGCGAAGCACTACGGCAGTTCAATTCTCTTTTTATTTATGTGATAGGATACACGAAAAATGATGTTGGAATATTCAGAAAACAAAAAAAAAACACGAAACAAAAGTAGTTTTGCCACGTGTAAGTAATTATGGGTTAAAGCATATTTTTTCATAAAAACAATTAAGATGTTCGGATTACATTTAAATTTACGTATTACTACTAAAGGCGTGGTGGTATTTATCTATGTATTTATAAAACTAACATTACAAATTACAAATATATGACATTATGATTAGAATAATAAGTAACTACATTTTATGCGCCACGTACAGGAAAAACGCTACAAAGGCAGTAATAGTAGTTTTTTTAAAACTTTTTTTACTTCAGGTGGGATTCTTCGTTACCATTATTTTTATTTGTACAAATCAACAAAATTATATGTATTTAAAAAATAGAATAAAAAATATCTAAATAGGTAGGTATATTTACATTGAAATTTAAATTGTTAAATTGGCACATACCATTTATTAGTACATGAATATTTAGTGGCAGATTTAAGTTTCAGGAACATAATGTTGATGAGTTTCGGAAATTTTGTTAAATTTGTTGTCATACAATCAGATAATTTAGGAAATTTATTCAGTAAATTAATAATTTCTCTACGTAGTTTCTTTTAGTATCGCCTACGTCATTTTTTTCCGATAAGAAAAATAAGTCAAAAATAATCTTAGAATCGCTCTCCTATCTATGATTTTTTAATTTAAAAAGTAGTAATTTTTTAAGTCACAGATAAAGAGCCTTAGACTAACAATTAGACTGAGACTTTTCTACAGTTTGATGTGCTTATACTTATAACACTATTAAAACAAAATAAAATTAAACCAGACGACGAATATGTATTATTGTCATAAACATATGCCTTAGCAAATATACGCTGGAATCTACAAAGGAATCTACGTACATACACGTACTTACACACAAGAGGTTGTAACAAAAAAATATGGAATAGATTCGAGACATATTCTCTAATGGTATACATAAAAAATTGTAATATCCCACAAAAAACAGCTGCGAAATCAAGAAGTCCAATGAAATATTTCCTGCCTCTAAAATTTTTGCGCCCTAAGCATAAATTGTACATAAATTACATTTAATGCCTGAATACCTATATCGTCTAATAAAACATTAAACAGAAATTTCACAAAAAGATACAGATAAGTAATTAGGTATCTTCTGCAGGAAAATTACACATACATTTTTTATCAAAGATGCCTCTAAGATACAGAAAGAAAAATATACGTTTTGATAATTATGTAATTATCATAACCCAGAACGAGACAGTTTTTTTGCGTTCTGTAAATTCTTGTTATTTGACGTGATTTATTAATGATCCACGTGGCTAAATAGAAATAAGTATGTGTACAAATCAACAGATAAAATACAAGGTACACTAAATCAGTGGCGATTCATGGCTTAAAAAATAAGCGAATTGTTGCAAATACCTTAGAAAAACTAAACCTAAAATTAGAGATATTTCATTAGCTTCACCTAAATAGCTGCCACTGCACTACATACCCACCCGTATTGTATTGTTTTATTAATTAAAATGTAAAGAAATAGGTACGTACTATTCTTTAAATTAATAATTAATGTAGGTAGTTTCCTCATAAGTTTGTCATTTCTAATGAGACATTTAAAAATGCATTACATTTCGAGGTGATATACAACAGAAAATATATCCATACAATGTAATATCATTATCATTACACATATATGTATCGTTTGTACAATGACCTAGAAGCACGCGTAGAGAATGAAAAGCTGCGGTTCTTCGCCTCTCAAAGTCACATTCTGTTGCCTGATGCGTGGCCTTCTTGCCCCACCTCTTCTACATAAACATCGATATGAAACAACAGTACGAAATTACGATTTTAATTGGTCAATTGCGGATCTTCTCTGCGAATATTTTTAAAAATGATGATGTTTATTTGATTTTATTTACAATATCTACTCAAAGATGAATGATAATGGTGAAAAGGCAATTAAGGAGCTATATTTTCGATGAAAAGAGAAAGTTAAGGGGGGACAAAGTAGTCCGGAACCTGCCGAAAAGTACCGAAACGAGAACGAGAACTACCTTGACCAATCTCAAGAAAAGTTGGATGGTTGGAAAACATTTGTACAATAGATGCGTTGTGGTTAGGATGGGCGTGTATATTGTATAGATGTTAATGCGTGCTGTTGTTTGTTTATTTTACGATTTACATTTTACGTTATTATTATTATACATTGCATATATGTACAATGTACTTGCATATTTCACAGATAGGTTACTGTTTGCTACGCACATTGAGTAGATACGTGCAATTTACAACGTTGTTAAGGGCTATAAAATTTGAAACTTATGATCATTTTTAGTCGTGTACGAAATATACAGTATGTCATTGACTTCATCATCATCATAAGGTGGTCAGTCCTAAGACTGGTTGGGCACGCACCTCTACTCTTTCCCATCCTGAACAAATCTTCGCATTTCCCTAAAACTAGAACAACCCACATCCTTAACTATTTGCGAACAGTAATCTAATCTAGGTTTACCTATACTCCTCTTAGCTTAACTTGTTTCTGCCTCGAATATGTCTCTGACTAGGCCTTCATTGAGAACATAGTGTTCGGTTATCAACTCGCCACTAGTGTATGAGTAAATAATTACAAGTTATTTGTTTTCCTTTATCTACAATAAAATTAGAATTTCGTTGGATTAGATACTTTAAGAAGCTTGATTAAAATTTTACAAGCAGTAACTAATACGTATTTTATTTTATATACTGTTTATTAGCGGCTTGGCCCAGCTTTGGTCGGCCGCAGCTTTTGCGTCTTGATGTTGAAATCTGCATAAAAAAATCAAAGTTTACAAGGTACTTTCGAAGCCTTATCGGAATGTAAATACAGACACGCGCTGCCAGAATACTGTTTTAATCTATTCAAAAAAATGGTTAATTAAATTTTAGGATGTAATATAATATCTAATCCAGACCGATAGTGTATATTGCGGATTTATTTTATTAAATCAGAGTCGGCTCGTGAAGATTGATTGTGCATGTTTTTAATTATCTACACTTATAATAACTAAAAGAAAACAAGCCGTGGGGTGGACTACATCACTGGTGCGACCCTTATGACTAGTGTTGCCAGGTCCGATTTGTTTTAAATCGGGGCAGAAGGTAAAACAAATCGGGATTTAGGGTTGTAGATCGGGACAAACAAAAAAACAACGTTTTTTAAATAAAACTTTTATTTATTGCCTTTCGCAACTAACATTGCAAGTAGGCCTATGTCAGAATTTAATCCTACATAATAATAGTCAGACTTGTTGGACTAGTAGAAATTTAAAAATAGGTAATGCGTAATTTTTATTCATTTATTCTAATAATAATGGGTTTTTAATAAATTTATTGATTTATCGGAACATTTAGCGTCCCGATCAGGTGCAAATCGGGACGCGTCCTCAGACCCTGAAAATCGGGACGTCCCGCGCAAATCGGGACACCTGGCAACCCTACTTATGATCCACACGAATACAGATATACAGTATCTAATACTGGATAAAAATGTTTGATTTATCTCAAAGTATCGAGTTATATCAAAACCAATTAGATCAGATAAATATTTTTCAAAAATTTCTAGAATTTACTAATTTTCGGTTTTTTTGTTTAAACAAAAAACCACTCTACCGAATGTTATATATCGTCATATTTTGTTTGCGCGATATCGATCAGGAAAAAAAAAATGACCACATACGTACACGTGTAAACATACGCACACGTGTACACACGCACACATTTCTCTAAATTATGTTGTGATGCTATGCTTACTTCAAATTTCTTCCTTATATACTGGTAGGTTAATAGCGATAAAAATAATTATAATAAGCGTAAAGAAAAAGAAATAATATTATATAATTACGTACTATGAATAAATTATAACATTTGTTCACTGTGAAAGATGTTCTACCTTGTAGCTTATTTCATGGCGAATAATTTGACGTATTTTTGAGTTCTCTGTGTCATCTAAAAATGGAGATCTATAGATATCTATACGCGAAAATATAAATTAAAAGGCTCGTTTTCCTATTTAAATCGTTTGTACTAAAACTATTTATTTTTTTAAACTAACAAATTGCAAGAAAATTTTTTCTGACCTAACATTCTGTATGATTTTAACTGACAATCTTTTACAAAAGCATGTTATTTTGTTATATTACAGAGGCATGATAGTGTATCATACTTCACACAAGTGAAAATATTTTTTTGAAAGTAATTTGATAATTTTTTAGTTTCATGAAATGTTAAAGTTTAGAGCGATAAAAA